CAAAAATATTATTTTATTTACAGGTATTTAAATCATAAGCGACTTTTCTAGTATACAATACACTCACTCTCACTGAATAAAATAATAGTGTCATTTTAAGAAATATTCACACCAAGGACAATCATGCGATTCTATCTCCCATGAGATATAACGAGGAACAATTTGTTTCGCATCAAGTATATTTAATATCCAAGCAATGAAATAATCAGCCACGTTGCTTTGAACGATAGATAATAATTCATTATGATTAAAATTGTCATTGCATGGGGATAATGGGACCACGTTATCAGCCGAAACAGATCCCAATTTTAGCTGAGGGCAAAGAAGCCGTGACAACTATAGGAATTGACCACTATAATAAGTGACTACACCAGGTTTTCGCGATAAGACACACACGATAACTGAAAGAAAAACGTTATTATTTGAAGTAAAATTGCACACCAACAACAGATATATAATTCGAATTGTCATTAGATATAATGAAGAAAAATATGTATTCACCTAACAAATATTTAATTCCAAGGAATAAGGAAATAAGCTACGTTGCTTACAATCTTATGAGACAAACACTATTACAGTGTAAAAAATATTGTTTTGTTTGAATAAATGTCAAATCATATGATGAAGAATATTCATTATTTTTGAAAATAATATTTTATATCTATGTAATAAAACAATATGTTTTTTAAATCAGATGAGACAAACACTAACACTAGATACAAATTGATGGAAATGATTTAGAAATAATGCACACTATCAATAGGCATGTGCTTCGATATGTCATAACATATAATGAGGAATCATCAGTATTCGTAAAGATAATATCATTGTTCTTACATTGTTATTGTAATGAAATAAGCCATAAAGAATCATTTGCAATTGCATGTATGATGGGTCAGTCATACCCTGTAGGTACATGTATTTACCTACAATGTATATATAAACAAGTATCTTTCCGTCGCCGAAATACCTTTGTTGTGCGTGCGACGTTAAACAGAGCAAATAACAACAACATATAAACAAGTGATTTCGTCAGGTGTATAAGCAATACATATACATTGTATATAAAAGAGAGAGTCCAGATATTCCTTCTTGACAAGATATATCTGTATATTTTTCTCCTTCTTCACTTCTATGTTTTGGTGATGCTTCAACTGATAAAATCCAGTGGTTGGAAGGTCAGTTTCTGTCAAGCTAATCATATGTTATGAGAAAAATAATTTAGACAACGTTATACATCGATCTTCCAAGAGAATAATTGTTAATTGTCTTACCTTCCTGAACACACCAAAACTAAATCCATATTTATGTCATTTAGAATGTTACCTCGAGTCTTAAGTAACATTTTACGTAAATATGAACACACACAGTACTAATGGGTACGCTAGAAAGAATAGAACATCTCTGATTAGTATAACGAAAAAGCATTGGTATTTCAAATAAGAGACACTTATTTACACAGCGAAATCAACATCCTCAACGGAAGTACGTTCATCGTCTGATTGGTTGATAAATATCACAAGATATATAGGGAAAACCCGCTAAGCTGAAATAGAGCTGTTGTCATGAAACACGACTGGCATGTATTGATAGAGTCACTCTGCCTCTCTCGTGTCAGTGCACAGTCAAATCAATTATATAAAGTCACGTTGTACAGTGTGAAGTGTACAGGGACACACACACACACACACATTTATTACACATAGATATAACAAAACATATCCCATGCACAATTTGGAGGTTATAGTTACAGCAAATCGTAATATAACACAGACTTTGCAAAATTGTCCTGTAAATTTATATGGCAGTGAGATATATTTATTGAAATATCAAAAGGAAACTAATAATTGACTTCAAATTTTCTGGGAAGAAAAAGATGTCTTTGATTCAGGACAATAGGTCATAGTGTGGAGATATGTACAATACTCTCCTATTAATGTATATATAGTGTAAATAAGAAAGCTAGTTTTGCATGTACTCACCGTCGACATACCACTATAGGTTTGTTAAAATATATGGAATAAATGTTTGTATTTGAAAGAGCTCTATGGTCGTGGGCCGGTCACCATGGAAACTAAAATGCATGTGTCTCATAGGTCAGGTTTAAGGAAGGCGAGCGCTATCAACCTGCATCCGTTTGTGAAATGAGAAGCACATCCTCAGTGACTTTTTTTTTATCCAAAGTTATTCCTGACAACGAAACATAGCTGAGTCAGACAGTTTGCTATAGAGGTTGTTAAAATGAATAGGTTCATTGTGTACAAACCTGATTTATTTGTTTTTAGATAAAAATAGTTTTGTCAGCATGACATATTTCAGGCCATTTAATAAGACTGAGTAAATTCTCAGCCGATAAGCGGGTTCTATGTACACTATATATACATGGCTAGAAAGCACATAGTTCATATTAACAATGACAATGAGATGTAATTTATAACGTCAAATGTTGAGCAGAAGCACTTCAGTCCGTCAATTCTGGTCCTAAATCAAATGTTGAAACAATGTACGATTGTGGGCAAATATTTCCTTGAGCTGTACCAGCAGGGCTAAACAACTCAGCCACAGATAATTATATCGCCCAATTTGCGCTATATAAACGTTCCCTCGACCACGCATCGGTGTGTTTATGGTAGGATTCATGTCATAATTGCTCTGTCGCTAACACGTTCCGCTCTCTTACAAAAACATCGATAATGCGTTTAATTTTTATACATTGTTTACGGTACAGTATATTTATGTATATAAAATAATTTGTAAACGTATTGTTTACCGACGGCACCAGTCACATTTCAGCACACCAACTACGTTATGTCTGTGGTTGATTATATAATAGAAGTCAGGTAAATGACCACTAAATACAATATCACAAAATGAACAAGGAAAATCTATATTATTATACACAAAATATTTTGTATAATGTAATTAACAGACTGTATAACATAAGTAACCTTTAAATAACTGTGATTGAAGTGTATGTCCGATATTTTGTTATTGTGTATTGATATCCAGGAAAGTACGATATCTTGTTAAAAATATTGTCAAATCATGGATGTTTTATGTGGATGTTTTGGCATCCGGCAGTGTACTGCTTATCGCAGATGATGATGTCCATAAGGGTCGTGACGAACCAACAGTACTAATCTCGCTGAAGCCTGAGCGAGTGCAATTCTCTTTACATTGCAGGGACCGCCATCACAGTTGAAGGCCACTCCTACAGATATTTCACATTCCCTGAACGTTTTTCAATCCACAACTTCCTGTAGCTCATTTTTATACACTACAACATGCCATGTCACAGATTGGATCATTCTCGGCTGTTAGAAGCTTTGGTACACGTGTTTCAATAAACGAATCATTGGTAACTGTCAGGTTATGTGTTGTTTGTGTCAATACATTTGGTGAAGGCATCTGGGATATAAGTTTTGCCTTTCGTCATACGCATTCTTAAGCGACATGGGACCTCAAATGTATTATTGTGATGTTAGATATACAATACCGCGTTTACTTACAAGATATACCATGGTGAATCTAAAAAGAAATATTTTTCACAAAAAGTCTCTGTGATCTGTTATATTAGTAACATAAAACAAAGAAACGACGAAATAGCTACAAAGACTACAAGGGAGCTCGTTATTACTCCTGTGTCGTAGAGTGCTTTTCAAAGACACTAAGCCCGCTCCTTTCAACAGTAACCGTTCACATTGCCTGAATGTGGCTTCATGATCTTCACTTCTAATTCAACTAAGTTAACTTGGGGAATACTGTCACATCAACATCAAAACGATGATACCACTACATGTTTTGTGTAGGTTTTGAGAAGGGTAAACACTACAAACATTGAAGATGGAAATTAATACTGTATCAGAAACGATGTAGCTACTAAAAGCAAATAATTTATAAATAATGAAATAGTTAATACTCATATTGACTAAAACTAATTTAACGCGGTATGTCATATATACCAGGTGTTAAATGGACAATGTATATGTGTATCTTCCATACACAGCCGCCAGACACAGATGAGCACACGTGACCAGTTTTGTCGGGTGTAATATATGCACCGTCATCAGTACATTGAGATTGACACCTCCATTATATGTCCTAAACTCCGTCAAGGTATGACTGGGTGTTAGTTGTACTTCTATTTCTTCTGATTACTCGCTTTAAAAAAGAAAATCTATATGACATTATACATTAATTGGTGTTGTGGAATGTTTCAAGGGTAATATGATAGAGAAACACGTCGAACAGGTTAAACACTGGATTCAGCGATGGAATTTGCTCTTGAGTAGTATTCTGAAAACCCTTGCAGCTTTAAACATCAACTATTGAAGTAATTTCCCATTTGAAATCATACTATATTTACCATGTAGACTTTCCTCCAATAGGCATGTTAATGTGCACTGAACTTAGCCTAGTCTGAGTGTGGGTTTACCAGGAGTTTAGGTTTAGACAACTGCGTGAGAATGAGTGAATCTGAACTAACTCCACCTTATACAGTAATTCAGTTGTCTGGTGACATGTGAATTGTATCGTGGAGGAAATCCTGAACTGATGAAGCTTGCCTTTATTACTTTATCGGAACTCCAAATCCAAGAGTCTTAACTTGGGAAACCTTGGATTCGAACCCATGATCAATGGATCTTAAGATTAGCAAGAGGAATGGCGGCGCCTTAAATCACCTTGCACTCCCACCCTCCTTAGATCACAGGGCAATGCATGATCATCTTGAAGCTGAACAGGCTGAAGGGTGTACATAATTACTGAGACGACTTGGATGGCAATCATTGAATCAACAATATTCTTTCTTTGTGATTTTCTAACTTTTAAAATAATATTTCCTCGAAATGAGCCTTTACAAATACCAATCATGCCCGAAGTAGTCAATGTAATATACAAATGCATAATTGTTATACATGCCAGTGAAATGAATGATTTTTGCCACCATAGTAACTGAGTGTTTAGTGTGTAAGAGTGTGGTCCATGTTTTCCGTATTCAGGTGATGACGCACACCTATGTCAATCTGGCAGATGAGCTGCTCTGCGCAGGCGCAGATCCGAATGTCAAGGACATCAGCCACCGCCATATTGACGGCACGAGTACGTACCGTACAATTTGCCACGACGTTGCCGAAAGTGGGTCGTTGCCAACTCTCCAGTGCTTGTTACGACATGGTGCCGACATATCTCTGAGGGACAAGCGAGGAAACACCCCTGCTCATATTGCTGCCAAAAGCGGCCATTTTAAACTTGTGCAATACTTATTGTGTGGGATGGCGACGAATGTGACAAACGATATGAAGCGCACGCCCTTGGACTATCTCGAAAGCAAAGAGGACCCCGGATGTCAACAGTGGGTGGAACGGAGGCGGTGTAAGTTGCAACGTGTGGTATTAAACAGAAAAACAACAAAACAAAACAACGTAATCACGTATACAATTGATACACTGGCTTTAATGTACCTTTACATTAAAACGAGCATGTGTTTTTGCTCAAGAATTTCAAGTACATTGATTGGTAACATATATACGATAACCATATACTTCGTATAATTGTAATTTTAATAATTATATCATACAAAAAATACGAACAGATATGATTTTTCTCTTCTTTACAGTATTGTATTATTCAGACAGTATTAGCCCCATTGTGGCCACTATGGCGTGAAATGAGTAGGACATGTTTCAGCAATTTTATTATCACAACTGATCAGCATGTCAAGCACATGGATTTCATGTCGACACCACTGAATGGACTTGTAGTGTCGACAGGTCATCCTGACCCATGCCTTGTAAAACACGCATACCACGCGGAAACCGTGCCTTACATAGACATATGTCGCCCGCCACGGATTTCACGGCTGTAAGCGAAACTATAGTGAATTTAGTGTTTCCTATTTCCTCTAACGGCTCAATGGGTTGAAGGAGCGAAAGGTTTCATATGCAGGACACGACGGGGTGATATTCGTGATATTGTATGCTCAGAGATATTCCTAACTGCAGTCAGTGCTTGTCTGTCATAGCTGTGCAAGTATATGATGAATGAAGAACGTGCACAAATACGGCTGGAACTACAGATGGGAACACACAGATGTGACACTGCACTCGGCTGCCCGGCGATTGTTGGATAAAGTAGTTACAAATAAATAATCAGCATATTCCCCCGCATAGGCGGATCCAGAGTCCTGAAAGTTTATTATATGACCATTGAAACTCTCGTGTTAAACGGGTCAAAATGAACTGTCACCCCTCCCCACCCCTTCTAGAAAGCTATATCCGCCCCTTCCCTGTCTGATTCTCTCCGTATAAACATTGAAAAAACCAAGTAGCAAACTCGTGATATGTTTCTATTTTAACGTTGGGGTATATTTAACTTTTGTTTTCTGCTGATCTTTGAAATAGTTATTTAGGTTTTCGTTAGCCTCAGCCGATTTTCATTATCTAAAAGTGTAAAGCAAAGCCTAAATATGTTTTCAGTAGCATATGTGTATTAATATATGCCCATAAACATGACTTTTACCGATAAGAAAAATAATTAAAGTTGCAGGCAACATTGACGGCTCCTTGGCTTGGATCATTTCTAAACATTTGGTACCTGATGTCGAAAGCAGTAAAGGTTATAGCTGATATGGATCGTATCATTGTCAGTAATGAGAAATACTTCAGGAGCCGATTTTACTAGCGCTTACTTCAGCTAGACCAGAGTTACCCCCCTTAGACCACAGCTAGAACTTTTACCCTGACCCGGAACGTTCAATCACTGACAATCTTTAAAAACTGCCTAAAGACCTCCACTGCAGTGTAGTTTAATTTTGTGCAGCGCTAGCTCTCGTCATTGTCAACTGAAATCGACATCATCTCCCATATCTGCACGTGGACCACGCTTTGCAGTGGTAGTCTCTTTATAGCAGATATCGTCCCTGCACTTTCCTTCAGACTGTCGCATGTTTTGCACGGGTAATCTGCCGTGCTCGTGCTGTAAATGTCGATGAAACTTATGATACATTCGGCAATGTATCCCTGGGCCGTCGGTGATATAAAGAAGTCCCTATTTCGTTAAATCTGCCCAAACTTTGGGTTTTTGAATGTAAGCATTATTTATGATGACTGGTACGTTGTTGAAAGTCTGTTTGCGTCATATTTAGCGTGTTCAGCCTGGAGTTGTGGGTGAGTTTGTTTGGTACTCTTTTTCTTTCATTTGGGGCACGTCTCAAACGGTTTTTTTCCCTTTTCCCTGCATTTGTGCAATTTTCAATGCCATATGGCCGACAAACGATCAAACTTTTGATATGCATGTAAGAACACGAAATGTTAAGCATCTTCTGTTGATGCATACTGCCAGGTTTTACTGCCTTCCGTGCAGAACTTGAGCAGCTATGCTGTTTAGAATGTAGTATCATCAGAATCTGACGAAATCCAATATGGCCGCCAAGCAATGCACATTTTGACATGCACCCAAGAACAAAAAATGTTCAACACACTTAGTTACTACGCACTGCCAGATTCTAGCTGCATAGTTGCGAAAGTAATGATGCTGCGATTTTTTGAAAATACATTTTAGTACAAAATAAACAACAGAAGCAAACATCTAGATATCCGTAGCTAATCAAGATATCGCAACATAGCTTATGGGCATTAATATTTGAGGTATATGTTGTATATCTGCACATTTACAGCGTTCTGCAGTTCATACATTCAGAGTTATGGCTTGCGAAAAATGCCTACCCAACAAACTCTGCACATTTCCGAGAAACATCTTCAATCCAATATGGCCGCCGCATCACGTGACTTTTGACATAGGACCAAGAACAGAAAATGTTCAACAACCAAAGGCCACTTCAGAACAAGCGTTCAAAGTGTTGTGTGTGGTAAGTTTCGTTTGGCACAGGACAGGCAAGTAGCCCGTGAAAGTTTTTGAAGACAACTTTTGCCCAAAAGTAGCGTCCAATATGGCGGCCATCATATAAACATAGGCACATTTGACGATGCTACTGTGTAGAAACATGCATAGACACAAAGTATGCAACGTTTGAAAGCCGTAGCCCTTGTAGTTTTAGTGCCGCACATTTTGGGAGGTATGCAGTCAGGATTTTGCTGAAAAACATCACCAAAAACTTCCATCCAACATAGCGTCCAAACGGTGCATTTTAGCGACTTGAGCCGTCCAGGCGAAATTGTAGGCATTTTGATTGCGCATCTGCTCCAGAACTTTGGCAAACATTGGAGCATTAGTTTTGGAGATATTTGCATTTTCATTTGAAATTTTTGAATTAATTTTGAATTATCTGCCCTTTGCTATTGGGCCTACAGCCTAGAGATTTTAATGGGGAATATCTACACCTTGGTGGGCATCTGGGTGAATTTTTTTCAAGCGAATCTGTCCAGCGGTGCTCTCTGTAGCTCTGGTACAAAATCCGGCGGAATAATAAATAATAATAATAATAATAATAATAATAATAAAAACACGAACGATTACAATAGGTCTCCTGCCTAAAGGCAAAGGAGCCCTAATTAACCCACATTGTACATGCTACTCTCTCACACAGACACACACACAGCCATAAATTATGAACGGTCCGTTAGGCTGGGATGTATGTTTTGGGAGCAGATTCAAACCAATCAGCTGATATGTTATTGTCATAAACTGCCCTAGTTGTTAGTTGTAAACAGTGGTATTAGGTATTAACTATCATTTAACACAACAAAATGTTCACCTTGAAGACATTTATTTTGCATCATTCTGTTTCATATCAGAGACGAATGATTGTCCTGTTATCGTGAAACTAAAAAGTAGATAAAATTCACCTTTGCTGTATCTATACAGTTCTCTTGCAGCTACCCCAGCGACACTGCGGACGTTGTGTGTTGTCGTCGTGAGGTCTGCCCTGGGACCAGGAAGGTTGAAAGATCTCTCTCCGGACTGCAGCTGCCGGGACCAGTTGTCAGCTGTGTACAGCTTCAAAACCTGCGTGCACTAGAGGCAGAGATTGACTGTTGATATAACTATTGGATGTGAAGGACGTCTTGGACAATACTTCTAGTCGTGCTGGAAGCAACTTGCCATAGCTGCACGTTAAACACTATTTAGCAGAATTTAGTGAAGGGCTGATATTCGGTATCCGCAATGCCCAAGCTTTTTGTTGCTCTTCATCTTCCCATACCATAATAGATGTTCCAATTCTGATGTCCGACTGATATCGCCACGTGACTGATGCGTATGACTTTGTGAAACACCATTTGGTGTACATCACACAAAGGACAGGACTCGTTCATCCAGATATTCCTGATAGTATATCTGGGAACGCTGTCGTCCGGATTAACGAGGTGACGCTGTGAACAATATTCTTCATCTGTATGCTGACAAATCACGGAACGCAGCATGACGAACGTTGCCTTGATACTCATTGCATGATTGCACTCGGCGCTGCATGGTGTATAAAACAAGCATTAGTGTGATAGATCGATATTTTCTTTTGACTTCCTTTACTTTCATTTTTCAACTCATAATGTTTACTGGTTGTTGCATGTGTACGTCGTCAACAGCGCATCTGCACGTCTTCGACAGGTGCGCGTCTACTTTGTTGTGTCACAACAAAATAAAGTTGTTCCCACCTAGTCTATCATTGTGGTTGTTTTACTGAAGTGCTGTGACTAAATAATAATAATAATAATAAAGTTCATATTTGAAGTGCGCCTAAATTCAAAATTTGCTCAAAGGCGCAGGTCATAGGCTCATTTGAAAGATGGTCTTCAGCTCACTTTGAAATACCTCACAATCATTGATTTGGTGGGAGTTCATTCCAGAGTGCACGGCCTGCTTTGGCAAACCTCCTGTCACCGTAGTGTTTTTCTCGTTTTGGGGACATTTAGTTGTTGAAGAGAAGCTGACCGCAGCGTTCTGTGAGGTTGATATATCTGGTTATGAGCTGTTCCAGATTCAGAGGGTCTGGACTGTGAAGATCTTAAACCACAAACATCAGTATCAAAATTCGAGTTTATCTATTTTTTGTTATAATTCACTTCACTGTTTCACCTGACACAGATGTGTTAAACTGGTACTGGGCTTAAAATACTTCAGATGAAATAGTGAGACATTGGCATGAATATTAAATGTTTCTCAATTACTGTATCAATATTATCATTCATCTCCATTTTCATTTCCCATGCCATTGTCTGGATTTTCACTCCGGGGATACGTATTGTGTAAGTATAAATGTATGCATATATATAATCATTTGTGTCTGACAAATTCACTTGCGAAGTAGATGAGCCGTTTGGCGCATGCTCAGTTAGCGGCATCTGACAGTATTGACGGAACTAGTTCATTAGACTCACTACATTTGCAACAACATATACAAAGCTTCAAACATGAACAGTCTTGGGAGAAAAGACCACTATTGCATATAGATTTGTTAGTAGTAGTCATCTACTAGTATATCGATGGAGACGCGAACGGCGCTGTAAGCTACATGGACCCAAATGAACGGGAATAGTTCTGTAAGCTACATAGACGCAAATGGATGGGAATAGTTCTGTAAGATACATAGACCCAGATGGATGGGAATAGTTCTGTAAGATACATAGACCCAGATGGACGGGAATAGTTCTGTAAGCTACATAGACCCAGATGGACGGGAACAGTTCTGTAAGCTACATAGACCCAGATAGACGGGGACAGTTCTGTAAGCTACATAGACCCAGATGGATGGGAACAGTTCTGTAAGCTACATAGACCCAGATGGACGGGAACAGTTCTGTAAGCTACATAGACCCAGATGGATGGGAATAGTTCTGTAAGCTACATAGACCCAGATGGATGGGAACAGTTCTGTAAGATACGTAGACCCAGATGGACGGGAACAGTTCTGTAAGCTACATAGACCCAGATGGACGGGAACAGTTCTGTAAGCTACATAGACCCAGATGGATGGGAACAGTTCTGTGAGCTACATAGACCCAGATGGATGGGAATAGTTCTGTAAGATACGTAGACCCAGATGGACGGGAACAGTTCTGTAAGCTACATAGACCCAGATAGACGGGAACAGTTCTGTAAGCTACATAGACCCAGATGGACGGGAACAGTTCTGTAAGCTACATAGACCCAGATGGACGGGAACAGTTCTGTAAGCTACATAGACCCAGATGGACGGGAACAGTTCTGTAAGCTACATAGACCCAAATGGACGGGAACAGTTCTGTAAGCTACATAGACCCAGATGGACGGGAACAGTTCTGTAAGCTACATAGACCCAGATGGACGGGAACAGTTCTGTGTAAGCTACAGATAGACCCAGATGGATGGGAACAGTTCTTCTGTGGACGGGAACAGTTCTGTAGCTACATAGACCCAGATGGATGGGAACAGTTCTGTAAGCTACATAGACCCAGATGGACGGGAACAGTTCTGTAAGCTACATAGACCCAGATGGACGGGAACAGTTCTGTAAGCTACATAGACCCAGATGGACGGGAACAGTTCTGTAAGCTACATAGACCCAGATGGACGGGAACAGTTCTGTAAGCTACATAGACCCAGATGGATGGGAACAGTTCTGTAAGCTACATAGACCCAGATGGACGGGAACAGTTCTGTAAGCTACATAGACCCAGATGGACGGGAACAGTTCTGTAATAGACCCAGATACATAGACCCAGATGGACGGGAACAGTTCTGTAAGCTACATAGACCAGATGGACAGACAGATCTGGAGACAGATCTGTAAGCTACATAGACCCAGATGGACAGGGAACAGTTCTGTAAGCTACATAGACCCAGATGGACGGGAACAGTTCTGTAAGCTACATAGACCCAGATGGACGGGAACAGTTCTGTAAGCTACATAGACCCAGATGGACGGGGAACAGTTCTGTAAGCTACATAGACCCAGATGGACGGGAACAGTTCTGTAAGCTACATAGACCCAGATGGACGGGAACAGTTCTGTAAGCTACATAGACCCAGATGGACGGGAACAGTTCTGTAAGCTACATAGACCCAGATGGACGGGAACAGTTCTGTAAGCTACATAGACCCAGATGGACGGGAACAGTTCTGTAAGCTACATAGACCCAGATGGACGGGAACAGTTCTGTAAGCTACATAGACCCAGATGGACGGGAACAGTTCTGTAAGCTACATAGACCCAGATGGACGGGAACAGTTCTGTAAGCTACATAGACCCAGATGGACGGGAACAGTTCTGTAAGCTACATAGACCCAGATGGACGGGAACAGTTCTGTAAGCTACATAGACCCAGATGGACGGGAACAGTTCTGTAAGCTACATAGACCCAGATGGACGGGAACAGTTCTGTAAGCTACATAGACCCAGATGGACGGGAACAGTTCTGTAAGCTACATAGACCCAGATGGACGGGAACAGTTCTGTAAGCTACATGGACGGGAACCCAGATGGACGGGAACAGTTCTGTAAGCTACATAGACCCAGATGGACGGGAACAGTTCTGTAAGCTACATAGACCCAGATGGACGGGAACAGTTCTGTAAGCTACATAGACCCAGATGGACGGGAACAGTTCTGTAAGCTACATAGACCCAGATGGACGGGAACAGTTCTGTAAGCTACATAGACCCAGATGGACGGGAACAGTTCTGTAAGCTACATAGACCCAGATGGACGGGAACAGTTCTGTAAGCTACATAGACCCAGATGGACGGGAACAGTTCTGTAAGCTACATAGACCCAGATGGACGGGAACAGTTCTGTAAGCTACATAGACCCAGATGGACGGGAACAGTTCTGTAAGCTACATAGACCCAGATGGACGGGAACAGTTCTGTAAGCTACATAGACCCAGATGGACGGGAACAGTTCTGTAAGCTACATAGACCCAGATGGACGGGAACAGTTCTGTAAGCTACATAGACCCAGATGGACGGGAACAGTTCTGTAAGCTACATAGACCCAGATGGACGGGAACAGTTCTGTAAGCTACATAGACCCAGATGGACGGGAACAGTTCTGTAAGCTACATAGACCCAGATGGACGGGAACAGTTCTGTAAGCTACATAGACCCAGATGGACGGGAACAGTTCTGTAAGCTACATAGACCCAGATGGACGGGAACAGTTCTGTAAGCTACATAGACCCAGATGGACGGGAACAGTTCTGTAAGCTACATAGACCCAGATGGATGGGAACAGTTCTGTAAGCTACATAGACCCAGATGGACGGGAACAGTTCTGTAAGCTACATAGACCCAGATGGACGGGAACAGTTCTGTAAGCTACATAGACCCAGATGGACGGGAACAGTTCTGTAAGCTACATAGACCCAGATGGATGGACTACATAGACCCAGAGACGGGAACAGTTCTGTAAGCTACACATAGACCCAGATGGACGGGAACAGTTCTGTAAGCTACATAGACCCAGATGGACGGGAACAGTTCTGTAAGCTACATAGACCCAGATGGACGGGAACAGTTCTGTAAGCTACATAGACCCAGATGGACGGGAACAGTTCTGTAAGCTACATAGACCCAGATGGACGGGAACAGTTCTGTAAGCTACATAGACCCAGATGGACGGGAACAGTTCTGTAAGCTACATAGACCCAGATGGACGGGAACAGTTCTGTAAGCTACATAGACCCAGATGGACGGGAACAGTTCTGTAAGCTACATAGACCCAGATGGACGGGAACAGTTCTGTAAGCTACATAGACCCAGATGGACTGGGAACAGTTCTGTAAGCTACATAGACCCAGATGGATGGGAACAGTTCTGTAAGCTACATAGACCCAAATGGATGCGGAAACAGTTCTGTAAGCTACATAGACCCAGATGGGTGGGAACAGTTCTGTGAGCTACATAGACCCAAATGGACGGGAACAGTATTGTAAGTCAGATAGACCCAAATGGACGGGAACATATCTGTAAGCTACATAGACCCAGATGGATGGGAACAGTTCTGTAAGCTACATAGACCCAGATAGACGGGGACAGTTCTGTAAGCTACGTAGACCCAAATGGACGGGAACAATTCTGTAAGTTCCACATACCCTGATGGGAGTAGTACTGTTTTCTACTTCGACGCTCCTGGACGGAGACAGTTGTAGCGCTGTAAGGCTATGTTAGGAGCCGCCCCCACTGAACGTTTTTGCAGACTTACCCACGTGCTCGGTGCTGGAAGTGGACCAAATACGTGTGGGTGTGAGGATTTGAGATGGAATATGTTTTCAGAAAAGTATGCTACAAATGACATTACACACAAATGAACGCTTGAATAGCTCAGCCCTAAATGCCTCACAGTTTAGCTCATCAGTAACACCTCTCTGATTTAAATACAGGAAACGGAAAAAGTAGTGTCACAATTGAAACTGATTGAGTTTTGTATCCTTCACTGTCCATGCCCAAGACGTCTACGCCATCGCAGTTCGCTGTGCGGAGTTACGTCCCTTGGGCTCGCTAGAAATTCATTATCATAGGTTTCATCACAGCTGGCGCAGATTATGTTTCGAAGTTAGTCAACACCATACCCGTGCTCGTTGATTTCACGGAGTGGTAAACATGTACCACCTCAAACATTTCGCACTTTCTTCCAACATTATGCTGACACGCCGTTACAATACTGGGAAACTGTTGATGGTGATG